CTGATCAGACGCTGAGACCGCCTGCCAAACCCGGCCTGGAACTGCGCTCCACGCGGCGCGGCCCCGCCCACAGGCCCTCTGGCCCCGCCCACAGGTCCGGCACCACCCCGGCTTCCACCTCGCAGGGCCGCAGGCGAGGACGTCCGCGCAGCCCCGCCCACAGACTCGACCGGCCCCCAGGCCCTCTGGCCCCGCCCACAAGTCCGGCCCCGTCCGGGCCTCCACCCCTCTCGTGGCCCAAGACTACGCGCTCGCGGACGCGAGGCCCCGCCCACAGGTCCTCTGACCCCCGCCCATAGCCCCGCCCCCGCCCCCGCCCCGGTCTCCACTCCACGCGGCCCGCAGGCGAGGACGTCAGCGCTCCCGGACGCACCTCCCAGCATCTTCCGTCCGGGAGACTCCCATCCGCGGGATGACGCAAGACGTTCGTGGCGTTGCCAAGGCTTCAGGAGACGCGCTCCGGTGGGACGGGCGTGCGTGCGCTTCCGGGGCGGAGCGCGGCCGCCGGAAGTGTGTGGCCGTTGGGGCCATGGCGGCGCTCGGCGTCGTCTTACTCCTGCTGCTGGGAGCGGTGTCTTGGCCGCCGGCCTCGGCCTCGGGCGAGGAGTTCTGGCCCGGCCAGTCGGCGGCCGACATCCTGTCGGGGGCGGCGTCCCGCAGACGGTAAAAGCGTGGGACTCCTGTGGCGGGGCACCTGTGGTCGGGGGGCGGGGATCGGGACCGAGGACAGCGGGCCGGTGCGGGGGGGGGCGCGGGGCGGAGCCTCCAGTGCCCTCACCCCCTCACCCCGTTACCCTCTGACCCTCCCCGGGTTTTCAGCCTCCGTGCGCGAGTCAAGGTTGCCCCGGGCTGCTGGGCCTCCGGAGCCCCGGGAAGGGCTGGCTGTGGGTGAGCCTTAAGGGGCAGGCCCGGGCGCCCCTGTTAGATGATGCGGGTTCTTGCCCTGGGTTGGAGGAGACCCGAGTCAGATGTTCGTAAGAGCTCGGCTTTGTTTATCTGCACGGAATCTTCCAGGCTCCATCCAGTTGGTGGATGTTCCCTAGATAAAAGTCTCAGGGATTCAAAAAACAAGTGTCTGTGCCGTCCAGCAATTACTGAGGGTTTGGACGAAACAGACCGTGCACTGCATGCTGGATGTAGAGGTGGTAAAGGGGTTCCCCCTCTGTTGGTGGTCTTGGGGAGATCTGGAGGCTCAAGCTGGGCGTTACAACACAGTTTCATCGGTAGTAAGGGAAGTTGTGGAAAAACCAGTGCCGAGAAGGGAGAGGTGTTTCGGTAGTGCGGTGGTTCTCGAAGTGTGTCCAGGGAGCCCTGAGGTGTCAGAGCCATTTTGGTAGGAACATCAGGATGTTATTTATCCACCTTTTTTTAAGTCGTTCTCTCGTGAGTCTACAGTGGGGGTTTTCTTGAGGCCATCTGACCTGCGATAGCTCAACAGGTTGAATGCGGAAGCGGATGTGAAAATCCAGTTATCGCTAGACCAAAAAGAGTTACAAAAATTACATTGTCATTCTTCTCACTAATTCTTTTTGTTTAGAAAAATATACTTGTTTTTCATTTAAAAATATTAAGAACCACATCACGTAATAGCTTATTATCATGATTTTAGGTGAATAATACATGCGTTTTAAGTTCGTAACTTCTAACACCGGCACGATGAGTAGATGTAACCCACATGAACAACAGTCCTGTGGGGTCTTCAGTAATTGTGAAGAGTGTGAAGGGGTCGGTAGACCAAAACGTCTGGGTACCGCTGGAGGACTGATCCTCAGGCTCTGGTTGGTAAGACTGCCGGTCTCACTGAATTTCTGCCGGCCATTAAAGGGTGCTAAGATGCGTGCCGTTCCTACTCACGGGCTCTAGAAGTAATTGGTTGTACAGAAAGGGGTTGGCGGCGACAGTGAACTACCAGCCGCTCCGAGTGCCCAGATCCTGCCCCATAGGCACTGGGGGCGCCTCTGGGCTTTGTGTCCAGAAGACTCAGCGTGGAAGAACCTCGCTCCTGCCCCTCCCTTCTAGGTATCTTCTGTATGACGTCAACCCCCCAGAGGGCTTCAACCTCCGCAGGGACGTCTACATCCGCGTTGCCTCCCTGCTGAAGACGCTGCTGAAGACCGAGGAGTGGGTGCTGGTGCTGCCCCCCTGGGGCCGCCTCTATCACTGGCAGAGCCCGGACATTCACCAGGTCCGGATCCCGTGGTCCGACTTCTTTGATCTTCCGAGTCTGAACAGAAACATCCCCGTGGTTGAGTACGAGCAGTTCATCGCAGGTGAGGCCGCCGAGGTGGTGGTGCAGGAAGCACCAGCCAGCCCGCTGTGTGTGGCACGCCCGTTGTGGTGACACTCGCTCTGCAGGGGGGGCCTGCTTCTGTTTCCCGATTCCGCACTCCCGGTGACCTTGGTCTTCCTCTAATTTATCTCGGGAGATAGATCTCCATGAACTGTGTGTCCCCTTGTCTCTGAAAGCTGGGGCGGCTGGCGAGCCAGCGGAGGGCGCTCAGAGCTGTGGCTGCTGGTCCGGAGGCCAGGCGTGGCCCCAGCAGGCCGTGCTCGTGTGCAGGGAGGGCCCTGTGTCCCCGAGGGGAAGCGAGATGGGGAAGCAGGACGCCACACGGCAGGCAGGCAGGCAGGCGTTGACCCTGGGGCCTCCCTGCAGCGCTCGTCATAACGTCTCGTTCCACTTAGGCCTGCCCGGTCTGTTTCATTGTTTTTAAGAGAGAGAAGCTGGAAATATTCTTAGAATGAGAGTATTTACAGCTTAGCATTGCTTTCTTTAGAAGACCTAAGCTTAAAAAGGCACTGCCACGTTTTTGCTGCCACCTTAGTCTGGCAGAGGGAGGCGCAGGCCGTCGTGAGCGGGTGCCATGGTCTGTGGAGCTCCTGCTGCGGCTGGCACGTCTTCGTTTTTCCACTTCTCACTGCGCGGCAGACCTGGTCACTTCGGAATGTTCCTGTGTCGGGGTCAGTCCTGGGAGTGCTGCGGCCATGGAACAACATAGGCCGTGTTTTCTGATATCTTCACTCACGGGCAAGAAGCAAACTGAGGCTTGTAAAACATCTTCTT